CCTCACCACTCACCCTCACTACTCACCACTCATCCTCACCAATTCACACCCTCAACAATCACCACTCACCCTCACCACTCACGCTCAACACTCACCCTCACCACTCATGCTCACCACTAACCCTCACCACTCACCCCTCACTAATCACCACTAACAACCGCCACTAACCCTCCCCACTCACCCTCACCCTCACCAATCACCACTCACCCTCACCACTCAACCTCACCCTCACCACTCACCCACACCACCACCACTCTCCCCCTCACCACTCTCCCCCTCACCACTCTCCCCCTCACCACTCTCCCCCTCACCACTCTCCCCCTCACCACTCTCCCCCTCACCACTCTCCCCCTCACCACTCTCCCCCTCACCACTCTCCCCCTCACCACTCTCCCCCTCATTACTCTCCCCCTCATTACTCTCCCCCTCACCACTCTCCCCCTCACCACTCTCCCCCTCACCACTCTCACCACTCTCCCCCTCACCACTCTCTCCCTCACCACTCTCCCCCTCACCACTCTCTCCCTCACCACTCTCCCCCTCACCACTCTCCCCCTCACCACTCTCCCCCTCACCACTCTCTCCCTCACCACTCTCCCCCTCACCACTCTCCCCCTCACCACTTGCTCCCTCACCACTCTCTCCCTCACCACTCTCCCCCTCACCACTCTCCCCCTCACCACTCTCCCCCTCACCACTCTCTCCCTCACCACTCTCCCCCTCACCACTCTCCCCCTCACCACTCTCTCCCTCACCACTCTCCCCCTCACCACTCTCCCCCTCACCACTCTCCCCCTCACCACTCTCCCCCTCACCACTCTCCCCCTCACCACTCTCCCCCTCACCACTCTCCCCCTCACCACTCTCCCCCTCACCACTCTCTCCCTCACCACTCTCTCCCTCACCACATGTTAAGGGCGATCCTAAAGGAATCTACAACCTTCGATGATTCCTTTGCGCGATTCAAAGAATCGATTCCTGGCGCATAGGAGGTTTCCATTTTTAATTACAGAGTTTTATTTTAATTGTTATGTTATGTTTTAAAGTTTTCAGGAGTATTTAATTATATTTTAGCCCCGGTCAACGCCGGATATTTCCCATTCGTAGCAGTTTATATCAACTCTATAACCAACTAATATTAAACGGAAATAAGGCGATTCTAAATGAATCTACAACCTTCGATTCCTTTTCGCGATTCAGAGAATCGATTCTTGGCGCGGTCGGGTTTAGAGTTTTAAAGTAATTACACAGTTGTATTTTCATTGGGATGTTATGTTTTAAAGTTTTCAGAAGATTTTAAATGTATTTTTCCCCCGGGCAACGCTGGGTATATCGAGTTTATACCACAAAGTCGACGCCTGACAGACTTGCGTGTCGAGGCCTAGTACCGTGCAGAGCCTCCGGCCTCGCCTAGATTGCCCACCCGGCTGAGGGTGGGTACTGGGGCCGTTACGCCCCCCCCCCCCCCCCGCGCTACAATAATACTGTCTAATCGCTATAATTTTATTATCTACCGACCCTATAATAGTAATTGCACACATTGGGGTGGAAGGGGAGTGAAGAGGACATTAAACTTTGATGAATTTACCTCAGAGTCGTGTGTTAATGCGTGCGCATATTTGTAACGGGAATTAAAAATGGCGTCCACCCCGCAGCGAAGTTGTTGCTATCCGTTGCCAGGGGCAACCGCCGTGGTCCGCGCCGGCCGGCAATATTAAATAAATAAATATATAACTATATAAAGAGCAATCGCACTAAATCGATAATCGGTCCGATTTAAAGTTTAGAGACGAAAAATCGGAAATGCCTAAGTTTACCGCGGGCCGGGGACGTGCCCACCTGCAAAATTTAATCTCGGCGAACCCCACGGTCCGAGAGCTAAATCCCCCGTAAGGGAGCGTACGCAGACGGACAAACAGACAGACAGACAGACAAAAAATGAATTATATAGGTTAGATTAACACAACGTACACCTAGGGTGGTGACCACCCGACTAACCACGCTACGGCATTAACACACTCTGTTACGCGATCCCGGTCCAGACCACAAGCTGGGTCCCGGACCGCGTGGTTGGAGGCTTCTTCAGCTTGATGTGGACCTCCTTGCCTCTCCAACACGAAGAACCCCGGGCCCCTCTCAGGGGGACCCCCTTATATTCGTCGGGGCTGGGGCTAGCTCCGCCTCTCGCCCCGCCAACCTTCTCGATCTTTCTCGCCCTTACCCGAAGGCTCTCGAAAGCTCTTCCCAGACCATGTGACCACCCTTTGGCCCCCTCCACCTGTGGCCCCCCTCCGGTAACAACCCGTCACGTGGCCACAGGTCAACCAGAGTAGCATCACCCGATGTCACCCTGGCTCTCAAGGCGAATGGATATTCTGACTACACAATCCGCAAAGCCATCACCCCAACTTTGAGGAGTCATCTGAAGACCCAATCAAAACCATCACCTTACCTTACATAGCAGGGATAACCAAAAAGATTTCCAAAATCTTGAACAAACACAAGATCCAGGTCCGATTTAACACAGTGCATAAAATTCGTGACCTCATCCCATCTGTGAAGGACAAGATTCCTGACATGCAATATCCCGGCGTCTACAAACTAAGCTGTATCTGCGGCAGCAGTTACATTGGCCAAACGACATGTCTCGGACCGTGTTCGTGAACTTAAGGCAGATTTGAAACACAGCAGGACCAATACTTCTGCCGTGGCTGATCTTTACTTTAATGCGACTGGCTCACATGACGGTGGTACTTTGCAAGGCGACTGGCTATCAACAAAGATTAATTCACGAAGCCATCCAGATATACAGACACCGACACAATTTCAACCGAGACGACGGTTTTAAACTCAACAATCATTGGAAAGATGTCATCAACTACTTTGGGTCATGACTTGATTTGTGTTTTCTTGTCAACCTCCACCGTCAGCAGTGTGGGTGTGTGGAGCGAGGTGCAATGCTTTGATTGGTGTAGACCTACTGCCGGTGTCGGAGCCCTCTCCTACATTAACATTAGCTGCCCCGCCCATCTCTAAACATTTATAAACAGCTTGCCCTCAGAGGCCAACCTCCCTGTTCCTGATGACGACCGCTTGTGTTGCATTCGAAACGTTGTGATTGTTTTATTCACTCTATTTTCATTAGTTTATTGTTATTATATTTTTTCTATCTACATGACTTTAGCGGTTGGTGTTTTGCCACCACCTGGTGGCAAAACACCAACCAATGTTACATGCCTGAGTACGTGTGGGGTGGATAGGTTCCAGATAAACACCTACGGCTAAAAGAGCCAAGGCATGCAAAAACGATTTGTTTACACATTCAACAAGTATAACCCGTAAAATAAAGTTTTTCACTATAAATCCTTTATATGCGTGGCGGCTAGAGTCCTCTCGTCCTCTGGCTTGAGATGGCTGCCACCTATGGGTCAGATGATTGTCTGCCACCATTAAGCAATTGGTAATTAAATATAATATTTTTGTCCTAAAAAGTGTAAAATTTTGGGAAAAAATTTTCACGAACATTAATTGTCACGCACAACGAGTCTGTGTGGAAAATGTCAGCTCGATTGGATCACGGGAAGTGGGTTAAAAAACGACCGGAAGATTTGCACGGTCGTAAGCAAGCAAGCACGCAAGCACGCAAGCAAGCAAGTGAACTTAATATAAAGGATTTAAAAAAGTGTCCCAGTGTAGAGTGATAGATTTGCAAGGTTGCATGGGTCTCGTAATGTCATGTTCAACAGGTTTAGCTCACATTTGTAAAACATTCTTACAAGCAACATGAAAGGCATTATAATAGCACAGCTAGAGTTAGGTTTCCAAAAACGCTGTCATCCGCTGAGTGTGTTATGTCACAATTCGTGTAATGAAAGTTTAAGTCACCAATGCTCGTACGCCGTTAACTTCTGCTTTCACGTGAAACCAATTGGATAGACCTGGCATGGGTGATTCACCAACACAAAGAATACAAAGTTTCCCCGAAGTGAAGTCCCAGACACTTCCATTTGCTGCTCCTGAACGGTGCATTCTTTTGTATTTTGGGAAGTGTCTTGTTCTGACTTTACTTACAAAAAAAAACTTTTTGTCAATGGGAATCTTTTTTGGCCTCATTAACACTGCATTTTCACTCTTTGACATTAATCCCTTCATATTCTGCTGACATGAATGACTGGGTCACAGTAACCCAGTTTTTTGGTTTGAATTAAGAGGTATTAAGCTTGTTTTCTGAACACCACAATGTGATTCCCTCAACATGTATTGACGGGGGTCGTGTTGGCAGTGCAACATATGATGGGGACTAATGTGGGGCTACAAAGATTAACAAAGTGCTGGTTATTTTTAAACTTCTTCAGGCCATGTCACCCATTTAAAGTGCATATTATAGCGCCACCCCGTGGCAAAGCAGCTACCACTGTGCCACTCGTGCGTCAGGTGGATTCGTAGGTTCCAGATACGAAACGCCTTAGGCTGAAAGACCCAAACCAAGCCGCCCAGAAGATATCGTTTACCTGTACAAAAATATGGCCCAGTTTTGAGTGATGTATTGCAAATTTCTATGTAGCTCTCTATCATGTTGACAGGTTTAGTGTTTATTTAAACCTTGGTGAGCAATGTGAATGACATTAATAGCACAATTTAGGTTAAGTATGGGACATCCACTTCATGTGTTTACTCATGCCACATATGTTGTAAGTCGAGGTAACAATACCTTTACAAGAACTTTTATCTTTAACATGAAGGCAATCAGATTTGGCATGAGCAGTTAATAAAACAAGGAATGGATTTTTTTTCTTTCTAGAATGGAATCGCATGCTTCTGCTCGTACATTGCTGCGATTGACTCGTGTGTGAATCTGTGCTCTATTGCAATGACATTGATTTATCCGAGCGCCACGTCACAGTCCTTAGGATTGAACGAAGAGGTCTTGTGCATGTTTGCCGATCCCTAAAAAGTGGTTGCTTTAACGTCTCTCGATGGGTCGTGTTGGCACCGTACAGTACGTGATGGTGACTGATGCGCTCATCATGGGCTACACGGCGGAGGGGAACTGCCACGGAGAGACAGAGATGGGCCTGCCGCCCCCACGCCGCCTCCAGTGGGACATCCCAGAAGAGGCAAGTGGCAGATACTTTGCCTGCAGTTCATTTGTAGGGATGTTAATCTTCTCCTTTTGTATGGCTGATGTATATGCATAGCAACAATTACAATTTCACATTCAGGTGGTCAAGCCAAATAACTGCATCAGGACCATGAAAACAAAAACTATTTTATTTACCAGGTAAGGCTCACTGAGATCTTTTTTTACACGCTTTTTATTAACTCACTCTGTCTGTTGTTGTATCCTCAAATCTTGTAACTCAATTTTTACCCACTTCTCAATGTGGTATCGACTGCAAACTTGGTATACTTATGTCATACTGATGACAATACTATATTCTATCATTAAAATAAAAAATATATTTTTTAACATTATTTTTTATATCTTATGTTTCGGCTTGGGTCTAATTGTCCACGCTCAACTGACGTTGCCTGTAAATCACCACAGTCCCTTACGTTATGGCAAGCTCCACTTCCTGGAGTCGTGGAGTTCTTCCATTACTCGTACGGTACATTTAACTAAAGCGTGTTTTTAAAAAAAGTTTTTTTATATATTACTTATTCAGAAGCAACCTGGCCACAAATGATCACTCAATGAAGTGGTTTATCCCATGTAAATGTGTAGTAGGTTGTATGGAGACGGAGTCTTCTTAGGAGGCAACACGTATTTATTTAACAATAACACACGGGGTCAAGTTAAAGTTTATTTATTAGGTATAGCCCTGTGAGCCATTCGGCTCTTGAATCGGGTGCAACCGCAACAAACAAAAAAACAAAAACATGAACAAAAAACATCTTAAAGTGAATGTGACTGAGTGCAAACAGAAAATCCAAGAAAAGACGGCAAAATATTGCATAAAAAACACCGTACACCAACGCTGTGTGCAAAAATCCCATTGGGATGCAAGTCAAACAACCAACAACAACCACAAGACAACTTAGATTAAGGCCATCAGTCTAACTCTGTACTACAACAAAACAACATGGCTAAACCAATACACTTTTCGAAATCACTAAAATAAAGCCATGAAAGCAATGAAACAGTGATCATAGGAACTGTGACGGAATTTTCACAATAAATGGCATAAACAACATGTACTACCAAAACCCTGCAGCCATAGCTGGCTGCATGAGTCACTCCACAACAGCAGAAGCATCAATCGGAGTATTATCATTTTTCAATGCACCTTTAAGATCAGCACACTAAATCAAAACACAGGTCATACTTTGTAGCGATCATCCGGAGCGAAACATTTTATTTTAGGCCACTGAATAGCACTGGCAGCTAGGGGTGTACAACTCCTCCCTAACACGAAGGGATAATGGCCCCTTCTACCCGACAACCTGAGGAGGTATAGCCTCCGGGCTAACGTGCCCTAGTCACCTGGACCTCCTAATCTTAGCCCTCCGGTTAACGGGGCCTAGGGGAGGCTGACCCGACCCAGCCAAGGTCCTCCGGTCCCGACCACTGGCCCACTCAGACCCGGCCCTGAGAAGGACGGGATCTTCAGGGTCCTAGTCTTCAGGCGAGCTTTTCGATCTTCGGCTTGACGCTGACTGCTGGAGCCTCTCTGGGGTCCGGCTTTTATGGGGCTCCCAGGGTCACTCCGCCCCTGGCCACGCCCACTCTCTGGAACCTTCTGGAGGGACCTAGGTTGTTGCGCAATCCCCCAGCCCCCACTGGGGGCCTGGGGTGTCCACCTCCGGTTCCTAACCGCCCTCCAGATTGCCTGACCCACGAGTCCTACTTGGTACAGGCCGGACCCGCAATTGCCCCCTGTTGGGCCCTGACTGGAGCTACATATTGTCCAGTAGTGGTGGCGGCGTATTACGCCTGAAGATTACCCACCACAAATGTATGAAGCCAATCATCGAAAATAATGCTTTTCGCAGCAGAGTTTATTGCTGTAATGTCTCCTTTGTATTCGTGGATCGGGCATTTTGTCGTTATGTTAAACGCTCTGTTCTGGATAACCACACACTGGAGAGTTTTTTCCCCCGTTAGGTAACCGCTTCTCATGTGAATGACTGCATTTAACCACAGAAATATGAAACCTTACTCTGGTGTTGCGTTTGTAATATTCGCCTAGTTGCGTTATGTTTTGGGCTCATTTTGATGTTCTTGTCAATGATGGAAGTGAGTAAGTGTGCAATATATATATTGTATATTATATATACCAGGATGTCTGAAAATTGAAGATTAGGCCAAATATTATCTCGAAGGGCTTTTAGAATTTTCTCTTGTGGAGGCCCTTTTTCCAGAAGTAGTGAGCAAAATTCTTGCAGGACTTGACCTTTACCAACTTATATAATCTGTATGCCGATTGTGGCTTATAACATCGATTTTTACGGGCACCATTTTTTTTCATTGTTTGTTTATATAAAGTAGTAGTTTAGCTGATTAACGAGCAAAATTAATGGACCCAAAATGTATATTTCCATCTTAAAACTTGATTTGGAGCTTTCGTGACTGCAGAAATTACTCTTTGGTTCTTTTGGTAAAGTCGTGTAGAAAGAAAATTAATTAAATAATACCACACGACATTTCGATTGCAACACAAGCAATGGCCCCCTTCTACCCAAATCTTTGGAAGACCGTAATCAACCAGGTAGGGTGTTGACTGATATGTTAGCCGACTCTGTGTGTTGTATTGCATTATATTTCTAAGTTTACTAGGTTTATTTTCTCTTTCATTTGTACCTGATGATGATTGCTTGTGTTGCAATCGAAACGTCGTATGCTATTATTTAATTTATTTTCTTTCTACGTGACTTTACCGAAAGAACCAAAGAATATTTCCATATTGTTTTGCCTGTTGTGCATTTGTGCATCAAGAACAGCCCCTGTTATTTGCCATAGCCTCTTGTAAGGCCAGGTTACACATTAAAATCGTATTTAGAGATAAATATGGCTAATAACAAGTCCTGGCGTTGACACGGGTATTATGGGTTGAAAAACTTTGCTGATTGGCATATGCGCTTCACTACCTGCAATGTACATTGTGCCAGCTCGTTGTATATCGTGTTTATCTGCCTGATGCTCTGCCTGTTGCGCGCGTGCACACGCGTTGTACGCTCGTATTGTGATCGGGGTGGGGGGTGGATGTACGTATGCTCCGGCTCACAGTGCCAGGAGGTGGTAGAGGACTCGATGCGCGTGGCCCAGGCGCTTGCCGATGACGTCGACTACTGCACCTTTGCATTCACCGACTTTGGCAAGGGCTTCATCAAGAAGTGCCGCACGAGCCCAGACGCCTTCGTGCAAGTCGTGTTGCAGCTGGCACACTTCAGGGTATGCCCTCGCACACGTCTAAACATACAAAATTATAGACAATTTATTTTACCAGTTAATGCCCACTGAGCTATATAGCTCTTCTTCAGAAGAGACCTGGCCACAAGTCACAGCTCAACAATGTGGAGTATTATTACGTGGAAATGTATAGCAGCCAAAAACTCTTTAAACGCACGTTTCTAAATGTGGAGGGAAAAACAGGAGGACCTGGAGAAAAATCCACACGACCACGGGGAGAACATGCAAACCCCAAATGTACAGGCATCGGGGCGAGATCGAACCCACAAACTCCTGTATACCGGGAGAGATAGTTAACATCTCACCACATGGTACATGTATGGAGCCCACACCTAAACCGTCCACATAAGCGGAGACCATAATTACACATTCGGCAGCTCCCATTGGATGCTGATGCCTGTTTGCTTGCTTGGGATAGTGAACCATATAATTATTAACTTACAGTGCTGTATGTGTCCGCTAGGTACCTACTGTGGTGGCTGCAGTGTAAGTGATATAAAGTTATGGTGTCAAAGCGCGCCGAGTACAGCGTATCAGATTATGTCATTATTAGACCAAGCCAGGAGGGTGTCTCAGTGGCTTGCAATACATTTTAAGGCTGCGAGTACAAATCCTAGTTGGTGGTTAACTCGGCCCATCATCCCTTTGGGGTCAATAAAGTGAGTAACCACTTTGATGATGTCAAGAGTGGCTATACCTTGGATAGACTCGCTGCCCACCATAGGAATATAAAATGTTTACCACTGGCTGAGGGCTATAAACAGGAGATGGGGCATCCCCGTAACGCTCGTTTGAGCAGGGGAATCCCTTTGACTCGAACGATACCATTTCAAGTGACCGCCAATCGCAACACATTGTCGCTTTGGATAAAACCCACGTGTTTGCTCGCAGGACATGGGAAAGTTCTGCCTGACGTACGAGGCGTCTATGACGCGGCTGTTCAGGGAGGGCCGCACGGAGACCGTCAGATCCTGCACGAGCGAGGCCTCCGCATTTGTTCACTCCATGCAGGACCCCAACATCACTGTGAGTTGTTTTTTTTCCCCACATGCTGCAGCAGGTTCACACACAATGCCACAACAAAGACATCCATGGCCCACAAAATGTTTTTCCAACAGCAGCTGCATGTCTTCGTCTTTTTTCTTAAGGTGGGGGAATTGATTGGCAATGTTTGGCAATGTTTATGTTCGTGATGAGATTGGTAAAGAAATAGGATGACTTCAGGAGTAACCTGGTAAATATCTGAAATGCTGCCAGTGAATTATCAAAGTGGCCAGTGGTGTGCAATGTCATCCATGGTTCGAGATTGGTGATTGCAGTCGCACCTGCAAGCAAATTCATTCAACGCCACCAAGACAGCATCCAAAGTGTCGTGTGACGAACCAAGTGTCTGCCTGATCTCATCTTTCTAGTTTGGCATGGGCAGTAATGAAGTTAGTGTTTTTATTTTATTTTAGTAGCTTGGTGGTATATCATGACCAATTCCCCAAAGCACTCAGAATTTGTCTTGGACTTAATAAAGCTTGTGTGTGCTTGCATGTCAGCACTATATGCTATTATGATGAAATCCTGTCTTCATTCTTTAGTAATGGTGAGGCCTTTGTTATCCACATTATTGTCATCTTTGTTTTCTATACTAATTGCTGTCTAATTGATCTGATTTGGATTTAAAATAAGCACTGATCATTAAAATTTATTGTACAAAATAAGGCAGAAAAACAAGTGCTATATTTGATTTTGACAACCATTTTTTTAAAACCAAAACCCACATATAGGTTTAGTGCTATGATGAAACCATTAGTATGGCAATGGGACTGATATTTACGTAGTGGTCAGTATATCAGCAAACGTTTATTTATCCTACTTGGAGTCAGTGGTGCTGTAGTGTGTTATCCAAGCATGTCTTCTTTTAAATCTGTCTAAATGCTTTTTGCTTATGACTAGGTAATAGCCCAATGATACCAGAAGTCTCTCCTTAGGGGAGATATTTTGAAAATTATCATTGTATGGTTGTGCCACATTCATAATTAATTGCAGCGGTGACAGTGGCATATATGTGTAATAAAGGACTCTTTCTCATATGATGATCTCCGTTGTCCTTTATTGGGTTCGTAGAATCTCGTTACCACGGCGTCCTCGCTCAGCTCCGCATCTCTCCCGACGCCTTTCCACAGCCACTCTGCTGCTCCGATATGCAGTCTCCCTGCTGCCCCGCCTTGCAGCCACACCGCTGCTCCGCTCTCCTTCCGATATTGAATGTCGAAGGAAAATTCCTGCAGGGTCTCCAACCATCTTGCAAGTTGGCCAGATGGTTGGTCAACTCTCAGGGCATATTGCAGAGCCGCATGGTCCGTGCGCACAATAAACGAACGGCCGTATAGATATGGCCGATATTGGCGGAGAAAATAGACAATAGCCAATAGTTCGCGGCAAGTAACGCAGTAGCGGGTTTCTGCCGGGGACAACACACGACTACCGTAGGCTACCACGCGTTCCACGCCGCCCTTGGACTGTGACAGAACGGCCCCGATTCCGGTGTCACTAGCGTCCGTGTCCAGAATAAAAGGCTGATCAAAATCGGGATAGTCCAATGTCGGCGCCGTCGCCAACCGATCGCGTAGGCCCTCAAACGCCGCTTCCTCCAGCGGTCCCCAACTGAACCTCCGACCCTTACCCGTAAGGAGGTGCAAGGGCCTAGCGATCATAGCAAAGTTCGGAACGAACCTGCGATAATATGAGGCGAACCCAAGGAAGCAACGTACGTCCCCAACTGAGGCCGGGGTTGGCCAGTTTCGGACGCACACCGTCTTCTCTGGGTCCGTGGCCACCTCGTCCGCACTGACTATGTGTCCCAAATAACGCACGGATCGTTGCAGTAGGTGACACTTTTTTAGTTTGAATTTCAGATTTGCGGAGCGCATCCTAGCGAAAACCGTCTCCAATCTCTGTAAATGTTCGTCAAATGTGCGGCTAAAGATGATGACATCGTCTAAATAAATCAGACATGTCTCCCACTGCAGACCCGTTAACACCAGCTCCATCAAGCGCTGAAAAGTGGTGGGGGCCGCATTCAAGCCCATCGGAAGGCAATTAAACTGAAACAATCCCTGCGGCGTACGGAAAGCCGTCTTTTCCCTCGAGGACTCATCGAGGGGAAGCTGCCAGAATCCCGAGGAGAGATCCAGTGTTGAAAAAAACTTCGCCCCGGACAAGGCATCGAGGGAATCATCCATACGCGGCAGGGGGTACGCGTCTGCGATGGACACCTTGTTTAATTTTCGAAAATCGACGCAAAATCGCATTTTCCCATCCATCTTCTTCACAAGGACTACCGGCGCGCCCCATGGACTGTTAGACGGGGATATCATGTCAGCGGCCAGCATGTCCTCCACTGCACCGCGAACCTGATCCCGCTCCATCAAGCTCAACTGATGCGAGTTCAACCGAATCGGAGCGGCATCCCCCGTATCAATGTGGTGGGAAAGCAAGGAGGTGCGTCCCAAGTCAAAATCATTCGAGCTGAACACGTCGGAATAACTTAACAACAGCGCGCGAAGCGCGGACCGTTGTTCTTTTGTCAGGGATGAATTCTCCCTGCACAACTCGGCAACCCAACGATCATCCTGCCCCGTAGGCCCCGAAACCCCCCCTACCATGTCCCGGCGGCCCCGGTTGTCATGGGCTGTGAACGTGGTCGTGGCGTGAGCCAAAACCGTTCCGGCCGGGACACTAACATTCTCCTCACTCCGATTCAGCACCTGTAAGAACGAGGGCTGGCCCGGCCGGACAATCGTTTGTGCCCCAACCAGCGCCGAGCCGCCCGTTATAGCCGTGGACGGCGATAACAAAACCCCCGCCGCTCCCTCAACGCCAGGTACTGGCTTCCGATATCTCAACGGGATAAGCATCTGCGAACCAGGTGGAATGTCAACAGATACCTCGGACAGCGCCTGTACCTGGCAAACAGGGGCAGACCGGCCCCATGGCGACGGTAAGAATGAAATTTTCCGCCCCCCCGGTAATTCTATGCAATTTTGATCAACCCTTATTTGAATGGACATCTTTGCCAAGAAAACCGGCCCCAACAAACGGTACCGCGAGGGACCTAGAGATCAAAACGGTCCCTGAAGCCGACACCCCCCCAATCGATATGTTGGCGTCCACCTGGCCCACAATGCCCATACTTCCCCCGTTCGCCGCTATGCACGAATCATTAACCGGTCGCACTCTCCCTGGCGGAATGCCCAAAAGATGGAAAATTACATCCGAAATAATGGTCGCGGACGCACCGGAGTCCACCAAAATACGCACCTCGACCCCCTGAATAGAACCCGGTACAGTGGACGACCCAGTAGCGGCCGCAATTACCCTCCGTGCCAATCGCCGCCATTGCGTCAGCGAGCGACACGGGTCAATCGGCGGCACCTCGTTGTTAACGACACCCGGACCGCGCGGCGATGGTGATGCATGGGGTGACAGGCCTTGCCGGGTGTCTAATGCGCACCGACTTGCCTGTCCTGGCTGGTCTTTTGGCGTGACGTCCGTGGTCGAGGCCTCCTGCTGGGGTGGCCCCGGAACGCGAGCCCAACAATCCCTGGCGAAGTGGCCCTTTCGACCGCAGCGGAAACACTCCACGTCGTTTCGGCGCGCGGCACCTCCTCTGTCCCGACGCTCCCGCGTCGGCGGGCCGGACCTCGGCCCCGCTCCCCCCCGAGCAGGCCACTGGGCAGAGGCGGCCGTCAACTCCCGCGGCCCCTTGTTGTCAGGAACATAGACCGCCTTCTTGGGATCCCACCCAGTAGCACCGCCTTCGACGCTGGGGCCCCTCGTCCAAGCTGACATCTATTTCCAGCGTCGCAGGTTAACATGCGCATCCAAACACTTAGCCGCAGCACGGGACGTTAATTTATCATGGCTGCACACCGGCATGGGGATCCCAAGTCTCTAGATAATTCCAGCATCTTGCCCAACACAAGGGGTTCCAACAAATCCGGCTCCGTCTCGGGGTATGCTGCATTCGCCAGTTCCAGAACGGCGCCTCTGAAAGCCACCGGCGATTTGTCGGGCGCCCGTTGCCGCTGTACAACTCTACGATGGGCATCGTCCGGAGGCTCGTACGCATCCGCCATTTCCTCGAAGACACCTTGCAGCGTCCTCTTCTTGTCGGCCTTGATGGAGCGGAAGAACCTGACGGACTCGTCGTCGAGAAGTGTTGGTAGGACTTCCAGGGCCTCCGCGTCCGTCCATTTGGCGGATCGTACAGCCGCTTGAAAACGGCAGGCGAATGCGCTCCAATCGCCGCCGATGGAGAACTCTTTGACCGTTGTTAAATGACGGCTGCGGGTCCTTGCTCCGCCGTCCTCCGCCGATGGTGACTCACGCGGCAGTGACAAGATGGCGTCACTCTGCAACGTGTGCAAGATGGCGGCTTCCTGCCGTTCCTCGTCGGCCACGCCCAAGATGGCGTCTTCGTGCCGCGTGGTCGAGAGGGCTGATGGCGACGGCAAGGCCCTGGCCCGCTGTTCCCCGCCGGGCCTCCCCGAAGTCATCGCCGGCGTCACAAGGTTGCACAACTGCGCCAACACCGTCTTCAGTGCCTCCAGTTGGGCCGCCACCTGTCGCCATCCTTCATCAGCGTCCACTCGCGCCGATGGGCCTACCGAAGCGGCCACGTCCTGCACGCCCGGATCGCCGCTCGTCCCAGCGTCGCTTTCCCCCTCCATCGTCGGTAGCGCCACCGCTGGAGGGAGGTTGTCGTCAGAAGATGCTGCAGAAGATGGTGCGGGGACGTTCTTCTTTCTGAGCTGTTTTGACATGCCGTTTCACTTCTGACACCAATGTAATAAAGGACTCTTTCTCATATGATGATCTCCGTTGTCCTTTATTGGGTTCGTAGAATCTCGTTACCACGGCGTCCTCGCTCAGCTCCGCATCTCTCCCGACGCCTCTCCACAGCCACTCTGCTGCTCCGATATGCAGTCTCCCTGCTGCCCCGCCTTGTAGCCACACCGCTGCTCCGCTCTCTCCAGCTTCACTGCTGCCCCGTATACAGCTGGCCTCCCACAGCCCGCCAGCTCTCTCCGTCTGACACCGATGGCTGACGGTGTCGACGTCTCCCACCGCGTGGCAATCACGCCACTCTCCCCGTACTGCCCAGCGTGGCCTCCTCCTGTTTCACTCCGTCTCAACTCCCCGATCCCCTTCTGGTTCTCTCCCTAAATCCTCTCCCCCACGTGACTCTAACTCCTCCCTCTCCTCACGTGACCCAGACTCCGCCCCCCCTCAATCCTTGCTCGCATTACATATGTATGTTGTCATCTCGTTCAGTCAACCCATGGCACCTGAGTGTCCTGTGACCTGCTAGTGAAGGTTCAACACTTCACATGGCTTTAAAGTACACACAGCCTGGCACAAGCGCCGTGGTGATGTCACTGCCACTTAATGGCAAATGGGGCTTGTTGTTTCTCCGAACTTTTTTGCACCGTACGTAGCTAACCGTGCAACTTGACAAGGCCCCTGCTTTTTACCGCACACCGCGTAACCTGAGAGCACAACAGAGATCGTTCTATCTTAATTTGGAGCTTTCGTGACTGCAGGAATTACTCTTTGGTTCTTTCGGTAAAGTCACGTATAAAGATAAAATAATAAATTAAATAATAGCATACTATGACGTTTCGATTGCAACACAAGCAATCATCATCAGGTATAAAAGAAATAGCAACAAAAATCTAACCAGAAAACTATAGACAGACATATAAGCAGGCAGATATCACAAAGATACATAGAGAGAGAACACACATCGGCACACAGAGAGAGAACGTCTCTGTGACGAGGCCTTAAATAGAGAGAGGGGGCGGGGGCGGAGAGAGGGAGGGGTTAGAGAAAAATTAGCATGTCAATGAGTAGGAAGATGCGTGGTAAGGTACGCAAGCTTGAAAATTAGGAGAACGGGAGAGAGACATACTAAATTAAATAACCTAGCAAAATATTGAAATGTAATGTAATGCAACACAGAGAGTCGGTCAACACACAATTAACGCATAGCCTGGTTGATTATGTATTTCAATGATTGCTAAGTTAGAATTTATGTGTGAAAATTCCAAAGAGAGGCAAAACACAAACACGAGGAACGGAGACACACAGACAGAGCAGAACATAAGAACGACAAAAAACGAGTGGAGACAGAAAAAATACACTAAATCAAATGTTCACACTTAAATTCTAACTTAGCAATCTTTGAAATACGTAATCAACCAGGCTATGCGTTAATTGTGTGTTGACCGACTCTCTGTGTTGCATTACATTACATTTCGATATTTTGCTAGGTTATTTAATTTAGTGTGTCTCTCTCCCGTTCTCCTAATTTTCAAGCTTGCGTACCTTACCACGTGTCTTCCTACTCATTGACATGCTAATTTTTCTCTAACCCCTTCCTCTCTCCGCCCCCGCCCCCTCTCTCTATTTAAGGCCTCGTCACAGAGACGTTCTCTCTGTGTGCCGATGTGTGTTCTCTCTCTATGTATCTTTGTGATATCTGCCTGCTTATAGGTCTGTCTATAGTTTTCTGGTTAGATTTTTGTTGCTATTTATTTTATACCTGATGATTGCTTGTGTTGCAATCAAAACGTCGTAGTATGCTATTATTTAATTTATTATTTTATCTTTATACGTGACTACCGAAAGAACCAACGAGAGATCGTTCTGTGAGAAAAGTTAGAATGTCAACGCTGGTGATGGTGTTCCGGTGGACTGTGGTTGTGCAGGCAGTGGAGCGGGTGGCCCTGTTCCGCACCGCCATGGATAAGCACCAGAGCATGTACCTGCTGGCCATGACAGGTTCAGGCATCGACCGCCATCTCTTCTGCCTCTACGTCGTGTCGCGCTACCTCGGCCTCGAGTCGCCCTTCCTCAAGGAGGTGCGATGCCTGTGGACGTTGAACGAACTGTTTCCAGCAACTCTTTTTGCCTTGTTTTTATCGCTCAGTTTATAAGGTTGCACATACTTGATGACACCATTTATTTGATCATTAAAAGTTTGTTCACGCAGTGTCTGACATGGCGGCATTGTTAAAGTGGCAGTTTCAAAATAAAATGTAAGTTGGTGGTGTCTTGAGAAAATTTAATTTTGTGCGAGTGTGAATTAGTTAAATGAAATACGATGACGTAGAAAACAAACCACGTTCGTAATGGTGCGTGTACATGTGCTGCAGGTCCTGTCTGAGCCTTGGCGGCTGTCCACAAGCCAAACCCCACTGCATCAAACCAAGTTGGTTGACCTCAGCCAGAAGCCGGATTACGTCAGCTGCGGTGGAGGGTTTGGCCCTGTAAGTTTTATGTTTTTAAATCACGGTTGCAGAGCGCGTTCCCAAAACGCTCAGCGGAACGAAATAATTGGCACTGTTTAAGGTGTAATCGATAATAGTTAATGTTTCTTGAATTGAGCAGGGGGGATAAGAACTTGGGAAAAGAGCGACGATTGGTGGGGAAAATTTGAGGGAAGGGACTGGTTCTGTAGCGGATGGTGGTGGTAAGAGGCATCCTTGAATTTTTGTTGCTTACCAGATATGATCCTGTTTATACTCAAAAGTTGTCTTCACTTTATAAATTTGCGAGTAGATTAATAGAGATGGTTAACATTTATTTTTCAAGCTGTGTCCTCGGATGTCCTGGCTCTTTCAAGTTTCAAATTATTGTTAAATGTCATTTGGGTAATGGTAAAATGCTCGTGATAAAAGTGTTTTTTAAAAAGCTGTTGGCCAAAGTGGTGGTGATTTTTTTTTCAGTTAATGTTTGGTTTCCCCCGTGTTTTCACCGATTATTTCGAAGCAGTTATGCTTTCATGTATGGTGAGATCTGGCATTGTAAAAAGCAGCATGCAGTCGTAATGGATTTAGTTACGTTATTTAATGTTGTGTAGGTTGCTGATGATGGGTATGGTGTCTCCTACATCATCATTGGAGAAAACATGATCAACTTTCACATCTCCAGCAAGAACTCCTGCCCGGACACTGTGAGTAGCTGCAGGAATGTAAATGGCATTGATTTGGCTTACATGCCCATGTGCTGCTTGTGGATGTCATGTTGACTGATGCTATTTAAACGCCACTTTGTATTTAAAACACGTAAATGAGACCGTATCTGAAAATTAGATACAAAATAGCGGGGATGCGCATCGTCGGTGGGGGGGGGGGGGGGAGGAAGTTGGTGTGTGTATATATACTGTATATATTTTTTACAAGACTGGTTTAAATATTCTCGAGCTCTCGAGCCTGTTTATAAATTTTCCTGAATTAATATTCCTGCTAATGTAATTTCATTAATGACATCGTACACCCTTAATTTAATAATGGAAAAGCCCAATTAAATAAATAGATAATTGATGAGCACTTGACCTAGAATTAGAATAGGGTAAGAGTGGGTGGTGCAAGTGATGTCTGAACATATTTTTGACCTCCCTTGAGGTCAACATTCAGCCTTCAATGAGTCTCTCGTGCACAGTGTACATATTATCTCTGGGGAGACCAAGTCTGCTGGGTGTGGTGCTGTCCACACCCCAACCTCATTCTGTGCCATATCAGCCTTAGTAGGTTCTCACTAAAGAGAAGGTGCCCTCGCAGTTTGTATGACGATAAGGGTGATCTTGACCTTTGTGCAGGCACTTAACATAGTTATTATTTGTGAGAATGAGGGACTGTGAGAGCATTTGTGGAACAGAGTTTGTGTGTTTTTTGTTACAGGATTCAAGCCGGTTCGGACGGAACATCCGGAAGGTGCTCCAGGAATTGAAGGACATGATCGAATCCGAGATGAAGTCCAAGTAGTAGGGTGTGAGCAGCCTGTCTGCTGCATACCCACAATGCACCCCGTGTTTGCATTCAGATCCCCAGAGCTTGCAGTGAAGGGCCACTTTGTTGTTTTATTTTAACTTAAATATATCTCAAATACAAAATGAATGTCAAAACTTTAGTGTAGCTGGGCATGACTGGTTACTGGTGAGATGAGGAGTGTTACATTAATTGGGCATTAATATGGCATTGAAGAAGAATTGCCTGTACAGAATAACGATATATGTGTTTTCGGTGAAGCTCCATCTAAGCAGGTGGACATCTAAGCAGTGATGACACAAATGTACACGTACATTTATTTATCCACATCAGCATATAATACAACACTCACTTTACTAACAGTGTATATAGTTTTTCTCTCTTGCCTCGGTTGGGGGAAGTGGGCATTATTCATGTTAGAATCTTTTATCTTTTTTTATAAATTCACTGCTTGTTCAATGCATTGATTAAAACGCATTGTGCCATAGGGTTTTGGTTATACTGTATCTTGAAAGCCAAGAATGCAAAATAAAAGTTTACAAAATAGATTTTTTTCATATGGAACCAAGTTAGTTTTTTTGTAAAAAATTGAGCCAAAATACACAACCATGGCTACAGGGTGCGACGATTGAGATGGCGACAGGTTTGTGCTACAAATACAATGATCCCCCGGATAGACTGTTAACAAGCTGTTGGGGCAAGTGCTGTTAGCGCGCAACTAACAGCACTTGGTAAATCCTTGCACATCATGATTGCCTTCTAGCGTCCACGCATCCCTCGTGAACATATTCAGCGATACGGGCACTGGTTCTGGCCCGGTTGTGTTGGTCTGCGTGGTGGAAATGCAATGGCTCTCTAAAAATTAAATTTTCATATTGTAGTGAGGTTTCTCCAAATAAACACTCAGGACTTTTTTTCATATCATCAACACCAACGGCATGCAGTCTGTAGCATACACATCCCGGGATGCACCCAATAGTCCTGTGATTGTGTAGCTGCTCGATAGTTGGTACTTTTGTGAAACTGGGTTTATAAATGTTGCAAGAGTGTTGTTACAGAGCACAACTTGTAATGGTCGTTGTGGCACTTTAGTGCAAAACAAAATTACACCACCACCTAATTACTATGCACTTGCCATTTCTGTAGTATAATCCTACTTGCATTCTTATCCCAAATGTTTCTGCTGTCAATGCCTCAATTTGAAAATGTTTTTTGCCAGCACTGATGGCTTTCAGTTTTTATCGCAGTATTGGCCCCTTTTGTATTACAATGCCATCTGTCGGCAACTCCTAGCCTCTCCTTGTGGGCTCCTGGAGCTTGTGACTGAATATGGTTGAATGCTGCCTTTCCAGGGTGGATAGGCGAGGGTTGCAGTAATTTCAGCAGACGCTTATGCTCCACACATTTGGCTAAGTATGGTGCGAATTAAGTTCTATATACATACGATAGGAACACATTAATAATGACGTAGCATCTTTTGTTTAGCACCAGTAGAAATAGTCATGCAAAATCATCCGTGTGCAAGTTTTGCTGAAACATTCATTGGAAGAAAATCCAGTCGTATGCAATGGTAACTTGTTATGTAAATCCTAATTTTTTTTAAATGAATGTTTAACAAATTTAATGTTGACGTTAATGATTGTAAGTATTCCTGTTGCTTCAATACTTTGTATACAGGTAATGTAATAATACCAGCATCCTGTTGGTGAATGCAACATTAACATTTTAGCAGGAATTTTTTTACTTTTGTAATACTTTCATTTCAAGTGTATATATACATATACACTGTATGGGTGTCTATAAAAATGCGTTAAACATCAAAATAATGTCACTCAACTTGGGGTTATACCGTGATTATTATAACGAACTCTTCCGGACTCTAATAGATTTAATGTTTGTACATTTATCGTTTTGTACTTATTATAGTTCCCTTTTTAAACTTCGATGATTGCCCTGAAGATTTACATTTGGAGAAACACTCTTATATTTTAGACACGATGCGAGTTTCTAACTAATGTGATCAGACTTCCAGGAACTCCCCAGTGGTCCTGTTTTAAAACAACAAACCTAATTAAAAGGGAATATTTTCGAAGAAGTGTGGTGTTTGAATTTTGTGGTCTTCCACTGTTACCATATTGTAACATTTGGATGAGAAGCTAAAGTAAATCTAAGTACAAAAAACTTCCACGTTTTAAGAACTAAATATTTTACTCGATCTAAACAATGCTAACCCTATATGCATTTTCCTCGCTAAAGAATTGCATTTTTATGAAACACATACTCGGCATTAAATCTTAAATTGTATTGCTATGCTTTAACTGTCATCGTTTGGCTGACTTGGCAAAACAGCTCTCCCAGAGTGCAAGCAGAGTTTCAATGAAGAAAATATACACTTCGCCAAGAGCCACATTGAGATGTAGTCATTCGATTGCATTTAGTTAGAAGCCATATAGGAGGGAGTACTGTCTGTCTTTACTACCTTTCATGCTACTCTTAAAGCTATTTGAAGTGACTGAATGATCGCACGGACTAAATTAGCTACACCTGAAGTGGAATGTTGGTAAGTTATAAGACAAAACTTCACTAACACATGCCTTGCTGAAGCTATTCGCATCGGCGACACAAAAGAAAAGCCGTTCAATGCAAGCGACGAGTAGTGTCCATTCCTAGATGTTATATAAATGTGTGTTATTGTGATGCAAGAACAATGCAAATATTTGGATTTCTGATGGGTGATTTGTCTTAGAACAAAGTCGTGCAGTGTGTGCAAAGTTGAGTTATTCCCGTGGCTTGCATGATTCGAAGATCCTGTAATCTTGAACAATGTTAGATGTGCACATCAGAAAACAATGCAAGTGAAGATACGGACTGATTTGACCATGGCTTGATTTATATTTGCGCTTGTACAATAGATTTATTTTATTTGGGTTCCCATGCTACATTTACATGGAATTTTATCACAATTTCTATGGTATTTTTCAAATGTTGTCTTGACAGCAAAATACCAAGCTGCCACCTCATTCCAATCTTAAGGGTGTAATAGATGATAAAATTAACAGCAGTGTGTCTCCTTGAACATGACTCGCATATTCACTGAGATGGACATGAACACGTTAATATACCGCGTAAATGTAAAATGTGTAAATGGTTAATTCCTGTAATACTATTTACTGTTGTGTTGACACCCATAGTTAAAATCCCATTTCTAAGCAAAATTACATCAGATTGAATTGTGCTTGCTTAAGAAAAGGTTCAACATCGGAAATGTTAACGCATCGACTGAAAGTAGTTTTCTAGTGTTTAACACAATATAGTTGTAATATTAAAGCAACATTACTCTTTTTTTGCACACTTTCTGCGTTGCCCCGTTTTAAGTCCACTCATGCTACTCATGCTATGTTTGTGAATTTTAAGGTGGAGGAATAGAATGGTGTTTGGTGCTTTTGGTGTTTCCATTCAATGCTTTACCATGCACTGTAACCTAGGGCCAGGACCACAACTACCTGTGCAGTGATAATTCAAAGTTGATACCTCCTGCTGAAGCTTTGTGATGCAGGTAATAGATCGTGCACTGCCCATTTTATCAGCATCCCACTGCTACATGAGCCACCCCTACAACTTTCTGGCTGTGAGGGATGTTTGACCATACCTGACGCTGTTGATAAAAGAAACATGATAATAGAACATCATATTTGGCTTGTGTGCTTTCTTGCCCTCAAGTTATAGGTTACTTCCTTGAAGCTACTGAGATCATCACATGGGGTGTTTTGTGTTGTTTAACTGTCTGATCCATGCAATTGTGAACTGTGGCATTATTTAGCAATGTTGGGAATAAACTTATGGTGTTTGTGATCACGAAAGTTGTGCTTGTTTTCTTCATTTAAGATTAACTTTAATGAGAACACAATTTTTAGGGTAGCTGTTTTTAAATCCTTTATATTAAGTTCACTTGCTTGCGCGCTTACGACCGTGCAAATCTTTCGGTCGTTTTTTAATCCACTTCCCGTGATCCAATCGAGCTGACATTTTGCACACCGACTCGTTGTGCGTGACAATTTATTTTCGTGAAAAAAAAAATTCCTAAATTTTCCACTTTTTAGGAAAAAAAAATGTTATTTAATTTAAAATACCAATGTGATAAAAATGAAACTCTTACTCAAGAAAAACAGAAATGAATAATAAAATAAAACCGATGCCACGCATATAAAGGATTTATAGTGAAAATATCCCCCCCCCCCCCCACGGCTCTCACTGTGGGAGCCATCTTGGAGCGGGGTAAGAGGGCGGCTGGGAGAGGAACACCCCCCCCTTCCAAGATGGTCGCCGGCGCGGTGAGCCGTTGGAGTGACGTCACAAAGGCGGAGTTAGTTTTCCATATTTCAACCACCCATGATTAAACTGGCTTCTGAAATCCAGCGTTGTTGGTCGTTAACTGCACAGAACAAAAATGTATATATTCACCAGCTCTGATAATGAAGGTTATACTCTTTGGTTCTTTCGGTAAAGTCACGTATAAAGAGAAAATAATAAATTAAATACTAGCATACGACGTTTCGATTGCAACACAAGCAATCATCATCAGGTATAAATGAAATAGAAACACAAATCTAGTATACTTAGAAATGTAATGTTATACAACTGACAGTCGGATAACATAACAGTCAACACCCTACCTGGTTGATTACGTTCTTCCTGAGAATGCTAAATTTGAGAGAGAGATAAAACACAGAACCAGAAACATAGACAGACATATAAGTAGAGACAGATATCACAGATACATAGACACACAGAGAAACCACGCCTCTGTGTCGAGGCCTTAAATAGAGAGAGGGGGCGGAGAGAGAGGGAGGGGTTAGAGAAATTAGCATGTCAATGAGTGGCACGCTGCAGAAATAGTGTGTCTCGGCTCTTGTCCCTCTGTGCTTTTGTGTGTTCTTCGTGTTTGCGTCTTGTCTCTCTTTAAAATTTCACACTTAACTTCTAACTTGGCAATCTTTGAAAAAACGTAATCAACCAGTCTATGCGTTAATTGTGTGTTGACCGACTCTCTGTGTTGCATTACATTACGTTTCGAAAATTTTGCTAGGTTATTTAATTCAGTGTCTCATTTTTCCAAGCTTCTGCAGCGTGCCACTCATTGACATGCTAATTTGTCTAACCCCTCCCTCTCTCTATTTAAGACCTCGACACAGACGTGGTTTCTCTGTGTACCTATGTACGTCTCTCTCTCTCTCTATGTATCTCTGTGATATCTGTCTCTACTTGTATGTCTGTCTATATGTCTCTGGTTCTGTGTTTTATCTCTCTCTCAAATGAAGCATTCTCAGGAAGAACGTAATCAACCAGGTAGGGTGTTGACTATTATGTTTTCCGACTATGTTGTATTACATAACATTTCTAAGTATACTAGATTTGTGTTTCTATTTCATTTATACCTGATGATGATTGCTTGTGTTGCAATCGAAACGTCGCATGCTAGTATTTAATTTATTATTTTCTCTTTATACGTGACTTTACCAAAAGAACCAAAGAGTATAACCTTCATTATCAGAGCTGGTCAATATACATTTTTTTAAATTAAATCCTTTATATTAAGTTAACTTGCTTGCTTGCTTAGGACCGTGCAAATCTTTCGGTCGTTTTTTAACCCACTTCCCGTGATCCAATCGAGCTGACATTTTCCACACAGACTCGTTGTGCGTGACAATTAATGTTTGTGAATTTTTTTTTACAAAATGTTACACTTTTTAGGACAAAAAATTATATTTAATTACCAATTGCTTAATGCTGCCATGCAATCATCTGACCCATAGGTGGTAGCCATCTCAAGCCAGAGGACGAGAGGACTTTGTTTTTACGGGTTATACTTGTTTTCTGTGCAGTTCACGACCAACAACGCTGCATTTCAGAAGCCAGTTTAATCATGGGTGGTTGAAATATAGAAATCTAACTCCGCCTTTGTGACGTCACTCCAACGGCTCACGCGCCGGCGACCATCTTGGAAGGGGGGGGGGAGTTTCTCTCCCAGCCGCCCTTACCCCGCTCCAAGATGGCTCCCACAGTGAGGGAGCCGTTGGGGAGGGGGGAGGAGAGTTATTGACACCTTTCTAAATATGGCCGCCGGTGTGTGAGCCGTTGCAGCGACGTCACTCAGACCCGTCACGTAACGGACAGCCATCTTGGTAAAGGAATGAACTCGAACCGCGTGCGGCCAACCAACGGCAACCACCCCTCCCCCTCCCTCCCTCACCGCGCACGTGACACGCTAATTCAATGCAACTCGGGCGGGCGTCCCCACGTAAGATGGCCGCCTGAATCGGCTTCAACGAGCCCAGTTTGGAGGGCGCGCAGAGTGGAGGGGGGTTGGTCACCGGCATTGGCGGCTTCTTCTCCCTCCTCCGCCACGGTCCGACCCCCTCCGCACCACCGCGCCCGGGCCGCGCTCCGTCTCCATCCGTCCACACCCCCCTCCCTTCCACCACGCCACCGAGTTAACTCGCACCCCGTACAGTCACAATGGACGCCGCCGCCGCTGCCGCCGCCGCCGCTGCTGCCGCCACAGTAGGAGCGGCGGGAGGCGGGAAGCCGTCTCTAGACGTGGTGTACCAGGCCATACAGGCGCTGTACCACGACCCCGAGCCCGCGGGCAAGGAACGCGCCTCCGTTTGGCTCGGAGAGTTTCAGCGATCGGTGCGTGTGTCCCCTCCCCTCCCCCTCCCCCCCCTCTCTCTCGGCCCGCGGCGCGTCCAGGAGAGGGCGCAGGCTTTGGCCTACCGCGGCCGCGTGCTCCTCCTCCTTATTCCCTTGGTCCGCGCGTTGTTTTCTTCATTGGTGTGGTTTGTGTCGTGCGGTGTATGATGATGTGCTTGTTTTACGTGGCGTCTTGTCTTAAGCGTGCGTTTGTTTGTGATGTATACGCGGTTTGCGTGCGTTTCGGTAGAGCGGTAGCGACGTGGTTAGCGCACTGCGCTATTTACCCGGTGAACTGATTTAGATTCTAAACCATCGCTAATATCAGTAATGAGTGATGTCTGAACTGGTTCTGGGTGTCCACACCCTTGAACTCGCATTGACCAGCGTGGTGAAGTATGGTCAAACAAACCTCCATGCGAGACGCTGCGTGGGTAGGGCCTTAACTCTCACAAGCGGAATTACAAGGCCTGTGGTTTGTTTTAATGTTTAAATGTTTCAATTGAGAATCATTCATTGAAAGGCAGTCCGTCGTCCGTGTACATAAATACTCTGATGTCTAGCATATGATGTTAACTTAATGTATACAGTACATATTTGAAAACGTTTTTGTCGGTTATATCGCGTAAGTTAAACGTGTCGCAAAGTGTACATTTGTATCGATACTTTTCTGTACTTAAGATATGTATATACTATTAATATCACGTTATGTTCATTATATTCATACATTTATGTATGGAAATAATGTTTTTCTTTACAATCACAAGTACACTGATATATTCATATGTATTTACAGTAAGCACGATACATAAATTATGCTTTTATAGAGAGTACATTGATATCCTGTCGTACAACAGAATATACTTTAGTCTATTGTACATCAGTCATGTTCAGAATTTATAGACTGGAGCACTGCTGGGCTATGAAGCTCTTCACAGATGTCAAAGGGCGGGTCAGCATCAAATGCGTTATAACATCTTGTGTTTGCCGACGACATGGCCATGAAACCAGTGCAAAGAAAGCACAGGGAATTTTATAGGTACTTAATGAAAACGATAGCAAAGTGACGGATATGAGCAAAACAAAGGTCACCTGTAATTCCACCAGATGAAGATATTTGTTGGAGGGATACAAATGGAAACCGCTGGGATTGTTCTTGAAGGTGGACGAGGGTAAATATGATTGAAGAGTCTGATGAGGCAGTGCAGGCTGGAGTAACTTTTAGCAAAACTAAACTTAGAGACAATAAAGTACGAACATGTGTAAAGAAGTAAAACAAATCTGTGTATGTTGCCTGTTGTGACTCATCAGAAACGTGGACATTGAAGTAAATCGAACAAATGATGAAAAGTGCACATGCTTGGAATTACGTTTAAGTACAGCAAATGGAATACATGGATCAGAGAACATAGACTTTATAAAGATCAATTATTGGGCATGAGCAGGACACATCGCTAGAAGGGATCATCGCCTGTGGTCGAGACTAACAGTGGACTGACAGCCAAAGGAGGAACGTGTCTCAGAGATGGAGTGATGGAATTGGCTCGTGTGCTGATGCGAGATTAATTGTTGCATCGCAGGATCGTCATAGATGGTTGGCACGGGGACGCGGTTATCCACCAGTGGGGGTAGAGAATGACTGGTGATGTTGATACTATACATGAATATACTTGTATATACAGTACATTGATACGTTTCCATGTACAGGCTTTCATAGGCTGTGCATTCAAAGACATAAATAACATTAACTTGCTTTCACGTAAATACATTGATTTACAAAGACAAAGGTCCCCCGTATATCCATTAACAGACTGTTGGGGCAAGTGCCGTAAGCGAGCACTTCTGATTTACAGTCGGTTTCACGTATATTAATATCCTCTGTACATTGACACGCATTCGCATGCGCTTGCTTGAACGCATAATTAATATCCATGATGCATTCACACCAGTGGAAAACAACCCAAGAAACAAACCTCTATACATCTCTACCATACTCTTCAGTGCACACCATTGCAGTGATGCTACTAGGGTATATAGCTACATTGGTGTTCCTGAAAGTCACTTTAACGTTTTCTTATTTGGGCAGCACCAAACTCGTGAAGAAAAGTCTCAGACCACCGTCTTGGTACATTTGTAAAATAAGGGCTGGCTGAGACTATTTCACTCCTTTGCTCCACATTATGTGCCTTTTCGATGTCAGACTCATGCGTTCAAATTTATTTTATTAACTTGTGCCCATAGCTGTCGTACATACTACACATTATACACTGGGTTTCTAATGAAAGGGAGTGTTGGAGAAATTTCTGCAGTGATATGAAAAGAAGCATGTAGACTCGATATGCATTTCAGGAATTTAAACAGAGGAAGAGGAGCGTATGGTTCAGGCAGTAAAATCATAATCCTATTAACTTGTGCTTGGGCAGGATACTGCCTGCAACAAATGATAGCCGATGGGCAAGACTGGTGATGGAATGTCAGCCAAACTCAGGAATGTACCTGAGAGCTTGACCACTGGACACAGAGTAGAAGAGAGAGGGATTGTGGCTTCTTCGGGCCATGAAGGATCGCAACAGCATTTTTTCATTCACTAGTGGATAGTCCATGACTAATGATGTCGATTATTATGATAATATAAAACAAATGCCATAAATATTCCTATAGTGCATTTTATATTTTAAAAATAAGTTTAACACGTAGGTTTTTGCGATCAATATTATTCATAATATAGGTTTTTGGGACAGATAGCGTTATTTATAAATGTGTCGTAACCCTCCACCACCCGACACGGCCAAACAGAAAAAAATGTGTCAAGTTTTTCAAAGGACAAAATAATTCAGAAGTGAATAATTCAGAAGTGACCTGACCCAAAAACCTATATTATGAAAAAAATAGGTACCTGTATTTGCAAAATAATGCTTGAGTGGAGTATTTAAAGGAAGTAAATGTGCTTTTTTGTCCTGCAAAGTAGTTAACTGCAAACCCAATGATAAACATCCAGCCACATATACCTACTTTTCAAACCATTTAATTGTTACACATTACTAAATGGTGCTATCTTCATAACTCCTGCAGTCACGAAAGCTTCAAGTCAAGATTGGATTCTATCTTCCTAAATGTTGGGAACCGTAGTGTCGTTGACTGTCAATGTTACATTTTTCAGTTGTGCCCATCTGACAGATCTGAAAACAACCAAACTAAAATGCATCGACAAACCAGACAACGGAGTGTGTTTAACTATAGCAGTTCATGAAGGTGAACTAGTATAAATAATGAAATAGAGGTGGACAAGAGCAGGTTAAGGTGCTATTGGAAATCTGAATTTCATGAAACTTATCATTGTACCTCAAGAATAACGTTTCTCATAATTGCATTTCGCACCTGCAATACCCTATGTATTATAAACATGGACATTGACTACGGGAGTTGAATAAACGCTCAATAGTCTGTAAAGAGGTATGGATAGGTGGTTGCTTGGAATCGCATTGAGAGACAAAAGAGGGACATGGATTTTAGAACACATGTAAAATTCATATCGACTGTTAAGAAATGTAATTGGGCTTGGGCGCAGGACAGGTCACCAGAAAGGATGATGGCCAATGGTCAAGACTAACAAATGGAGCAATGAAATCAGTTTGTCTCCAACAGTCTATTTGAGCATATCTCATGAGAGTTGTTTAGATAATTTTGCTCTGGTGAAATCTACCGTAGTCCAAATAAGTGCATCTCCGATTGGGCTGTTGAATCCCTTTACTGCTGTAGAACATCCCTTGCATTTTAAACTATTAAAGCAGGGAAGGCCACTTGAGGTGTTTAAGGTCCATTTTGCATGCAGGGAGGAAACCAAGAGTACCCAGAGGTGATGATACTCAAATATTTGCGGAGATGGGTTGACAGACCTTATGAGTTTCTATGCCATATTCAGGCCACCTCGCAGCCCTATGGGTTTGGGAATTTTACAAATCTGTGTGATTCGCTAAACCTTTCCTCCAAAGCAATGGATTACATTAATTTCCCACAATGCCTGGGCAATACTATAGCTTTACCCAATTGGTGGCTCCTGATTGTATCATTGACATGAACATTGCCCCAATCCAAGCCTTAAATCTAGTTCAGCCCTAAATTTATCCTCAAACAGAAACCCTAACTTTCGCCATTAACTTTAACCGATATATAGTATTTGTATGGAGTTTTCTCTTCGCTGATGGAAAATGCACTAATATTTCCATGTTCGCTGAGTATTTGCCAGATGCTGGTTAATATGCCTTTTTTTTATTAATCTTAATTAAAATGTAACATCACTGATATGATTTCCTCTACACCAATCCACATCGACCAGCTAATTGAACTATTGTCAAACAACTCCCATGACTGACCCGGCATGGGAAGGCCTTCATCCAGCAGTGGATTGATAGAGGACTGTAATTATGAGGTGGAGTTGTGAATGTTCATTGTCCAAATGTGGCCTTTGACAGTGTGAACAGATGGCCATGCATTGCCAATGTGCGATTATGATTATGGGATGATGCTAAATAATGCGCAGTAGCCCTTGTTGACTGCCATTTTTAACATTCACTGCAGTGTGTGTTAAATGTACTTGCTGTGGTGTTGACCATTATTTATGGATTTTACGCTTACACCAGTATACCCATTGGCAAGAAGTGCAAGGTAGTGTTTTGTAGGCTGTCCATTTTCCAATAGAATTCCCATGTGTCTGATGGCTGAACTTTGAAAATTTGCTGTGTGCGCCATTGTAATGCAGATTGTATGAAGTCTACAAGTACTGTTGTATATTTGTGCCTTATGCGATCGATTCCGTCTAGAGAAGTGGTTCATTTTCTGGTCAGATATGTGACTCGGTGATGCAGGAATATTTTTGGCAGATTTTTGTTTGCGTCAAGCGTGGTTTGACCCAGATGAGTGGGCTGGCATATCATATATGCGTAAGCTTAACATATGTTATCACGAATCGCTAGGAGTTGTCATTGGTATCAGGTATTTTGTGTAAATTAGTGGGTTCATAAGCAGCTGCTGGGTTTCATCATACCCTGCATTTGTCTTAGGCCACTTTTTAAAATAAAAAAAACTGCTCCACGACAAAAGTTCCGAAGTAAATTAATATTTGGATCCGTTCCTTGTTCAAATCCGTCTGATCAAGCCACACTTCAAGCAAGAAACTGGGTGCATAAGACGAGAACTTAAGGCACATAAAATATAATCTCTTGTTTTGGCCAGGTTCACTAAGTTTTGCAGTGCTTGTTTATTAATAATATAGCTAAATATCGGTAATGTGAGCACAATAACCCAACGTGAAAATAGATTTTTCAGCCGGAAAAGTGCTTGCACATATGGTTGGAGCTGGCCGTGCCTAGTACCAAATCACCTGGAATGTGCCTAACCTCATTTGATATTGAGAAGCCAAGCAGGATTTGCCTGGATCGTGATTGGATAGGTGACCGCATGGGTAAACTGTTATAGGCCCCCTTGGTCATCAGTGTGGGCAGCAGAGAGCAGTACATACGCATTTCATTGTATTGTGCTATGGCTCCATATTTATGCCACCTGCATTGGACTTCTGCTCTACCACAATTACATTCCCCGTCTTCAGCAATCTGCACTGAACATATTTGTGTAATATGGGCTAATAATACCAACACGGCATGGTTGAGTCTCGTGTTCAGGAGTGTACTCTGATCGTGATGATCACATTGCAGTATGGTGAGAGCAATGGTGTGGGTGAGTCCTTTATCCAGCAGTGGTTTTATCATGCCTCTATCGCTCCCCCCCTCTCTTTGCCACACACGTGCAGATGTTCGCGTGGGAGATCTCGGATCAGCTGCTGCAGATGCGCCGGGACGTGGAGTCTTGCTACTTTGCGGCGCAGACCATGAAGATGAAGATTCAGTTTGCCTTCTTTGAGCTGCCAGCTGACACGCATGCCTCCCTGCGCGACTCCCTTCTGACGCACATCGAGACGCTCAAGGACGTGTCACCCGTCATCGTCACCCAGGTGGCCCCAGTTGCCTTGTCCAGACCACAGTTTGCTGTAGAAGTTTAGTTTCCTACCGAGGGCAGTTGTGTTTGTGGCTTCGGTCACTAGCCAATCACTAGCCAATTAGAGGGTCTAATGCACGTCATGCGTGGTGTTACCATTTATTCTATAAATTGCCTTGCTATTAGATATTCTGGGTTAAATACCTTCTGTTTTTTTTTCCTGATCTTCAACGAAAACTACCACTTCAATCTTCAGTTGCTTACTTTTGATTTTCCATACTCCTGCCCCAACTATGTGAAACAATTTCCCATCACCCGTGCTTCTGAATATATCTCTCATTAATAAGGTTGCAGCAATATGGTCAAACTAATATATAAAATAATTTCCACAGTATTTCCATTGTCCGTTTTTCAAAATATAGTGATAATTATTCATTTTATTTTTTGGAAACTTGCAAGATATTCATGAAATAAAATGCTCTAGAAATAAAGTTGTAAATAATAGCTATTATAAACCCAAAAACGTTGATTATGAATATTATACATTAAATTAGTGCAAAGCAAAATTTTTTCAGAATAATTGTCACTGACAATTATATTCTACTATCATTCAAAATGCATCATGTGCATTATTAACACGATATAATGTAAGCATTATAAAGACATTCTAGTCTCAGAGTTAACTACACTTGAACTTTTAAGTTATATTTTTTATTCATACAAGAAGTACAGCAAAGCCACAAGACGTTTAAATAAACATTTAAAAAATACAAAGTTGTGGAAAACTGATGTCGCAATTAATAATTTCAATTTGCAACGTGTGCTGCAGAGCATTCGCTCGCTGTTGGAGAGAGAATGACAGACTAGCGGGAAAGGCAGCCAGGGATTGTCGGTGCCAAATACCACTCTGATCTCCTGTATGATGAGGTTGTATCAGCCATTTAATGATTGTTTAGGTGTGGGAGCAAACGGAGCACCCAGATAAAGTTCATATGTAGTGGCAACACGCTATCCCATACAGATGGAACAAATGGAGATTAGTCCACATTTTCTGCCCTGTCATTTCCTCACGAGCCAGGCAATGGCAACCTTGATGCCCATGGGAAGTCAGTCTTGTGACATGTGATCCATTCACCCTCACTTGCCATCACTGCCCCGCAAATATGGCTTATGTATGTATATTGAACGTCTTTTGCACCATACTTAGCCAACCGTGTTAATCGGAGGTGTGGGGGAAGGACAACAAACTTAACACAAGAAGCAGTACTCAAGAAAGGAGATTTCAGTCTAAATTTAAAAGTGCATAGCTCCAGTGGCTTCCTAATATCGGATCATGCAATTTGATGTGTTATGAAGATGATACCACAGTGGTCCTGGACGTTAGCTAGTTAGATGATCAAATGAACATCGCGTGGGATATAACTGCTTATAATATTTTTTTAATAATCTTAAAGATTCTTCATTTTCTTGCAATTAAGAGTTCTGAGCTAATTTTGCTGGATTTTCTTCCTGCTGTTTCTGCTTCAGCAAACATTGCATCCTCAATCTTCCACTGCTTACTTTAGTAATCCTTTCCACTGCCACAGCTATGTGGAAAAACATTCCATCACCCAGCTTCTGCATATATCTCTTATTATACTTGGGCTTGGGGGAGTGGTGGTGCAGTGGTTGGCGCACTGCAACATGATTCATGCGACCTTAGTTTGATTCTTGGATTTGACTAACATCCTAGGCTGCACTATTGATGCTTCGTTGACCAGCGTGGTGAAGTATTCTAAAACGACTCCCATGACTGACACTGGGAGAGGTTATGTTTATCGAGCAGCGGATTAACAGAAGTCTTAGGTTATTAAGGCTTAATTCTAAACAATCTATATACATGATGTATTCTCTTAAACGTTAAGTTTGTGCATATTGAGCTCTTTACGTAATTTTGTTCAGCGGAATTTAATGTTTAATCTGTGCAGAAAATTAATGGTAGGTTTTAGTGTTACCCAGCTGAAGGGGCTCTAAACATTGCATTTCCTTTTAAAGAGAAACGCCATAGCAGACAAAGTACTGGAAAAAGTGTAGCTTAAAAAGAAAATGTAAACCGATGATTGTGTTAATCACATGTAACGCATACAGTAATTATGATGAAAGTTTTTTTGCATGAAAACTAATGGCATCAGCTGTCACTTAAATATGTCCGTAGTGTTAGAATATACATAGCTCCCTTCATCAAGACAACCTGAGAACACAGCACTTAAAAGATAATATCATGGACTGTTTTTTAAATCTTGTAATGTTTATCGTTGGTGAGGTTTGCATTGTTATTTGAAGAAAAAATCAAGAGTCATTTCAAACTCAATGCACAATCTCTTCCTTACAGCAGACAGTGAAATGGGGAGAGAATGGCCTTACTTAACAGCATAAATTATGGATTGCATTAATGCCCATGAAAATGTTTGTGAATTTCAATGATTACGGCTATTAAACTGGTATGGGTTACATGTTTGCCTGTAAAAAGTTTTGCTGTTTTAAATGTGGAACAGCATTTAGCTTAAGAAGTCTAAATATCATTTTGCATGGGTACTGTTCATGATGACATAGTGTGTATTTTTGTTAACGGTTGCATGATGAAAAGAGTTTTATGTTATGAACATCGGTGAACCAAAGGTCAGCAACATTTTTCATTATTCATTAAGTAATATGTCATAACCTCAGTTTTTAACGTTTTGTTTCCAGTTACATTGCCCATCATATTGTGCCAGTTGTGTTTGTCTATTCACAGAACTTATTCCAAAAGAGGGCATTTTTTTACTGCTTGAAGTACCTGCTTAACTTCAATACACGAGGCGTAACAAAAACATCAAAAATTACTCTAATCCTTGAACATGATTTCAGAATTCCGTGGACTTCCACGATTGTGTTCCAGTGTAACGCATGCTTTTTGCCAGAGTCTGCGGATTGTGTTGTAATGTTTTGTGTGGTTGTCCTCATGGAACATTTGTTTGTTTTAATCCCCAGCTGGCACTGGCGATAGCGGACCTGGCCCTGCAGATGGCAACTTGGAAGGGCTGCGTGCAGACCCTTATAGAAAAGTAAGTTTGGAGCCAAGATGACACAAGTGTGCTTTGCGAAATGCAAAAGCATGGGAAGTTACATAAGTAAAAATATAATGATTGTGAAATAGTGGTGATTTAACCCAGACATTGCTTATACAGCAATCCCATGCTCAAGTCATCAAATCATGCTGATTCTTAACACTCGTATATTAATTGAAATTTTATAATGTAATTAAGATACTTTCTCAGCATGTACATTTTATGACGTTGGTCTTCACTACATTAAACACCAGTCTATGGCATGTGGGTGTTTGGCAAGCATTGGTGCAGAGGTTGTGCACTTGGCGACGATCTCGCCTGGCTTGATTCAGTTCTCTACTGATACATCAGTATCATATGGTGTTCCAACCTATCCTGAGATTCACCGAGATAGGCTGATCCTTAATATAGTTTCTAGTCAGTGTGTTAACATCAGCATGGGGGAGCCAAAATTGGCTCTGAATGGTGTTAGCCTTGCCATCTAGTCACATGCCTTGTTGTTTTTTGTAGGTCCTTCCTTGTTAACAGCATTGCCTTTACAATCTCCAAAACTAAAAAGGGACATTAGGTTTGTTTGTCCCCTATGTTGTCAGTAGAGGGCAGTGCAGCAAAACCTATTGCACAACACTGCCTAACTTCACCACCCCACACTTACCAGCGTTGTGAAGAATGACCAGACAACACCAAAGACAACCACGGCTTGGAGAGACCCTCATCCAGCGGTGAATCGACGCAAAGGCCGTTCGTGTGTGTGTGTGTGCGCAGCTCATGTAGTTGCTGTCACCCACTTGTGTTTATGGCTGAGCCAGGTATGGCAACGATGTGTCGTCGCTGCCCTTCCTGCTGGAGATCCTGACGGTGCTGCCCGAGGAGGTGCACAGCCGTTCACTGCGCATCGGTGCCAATCGCCGCACGGAGATCATCGAGGAGCTGGCCTACCATTCGGCTGTGGTGGTCACCTTGCTGGTGAGGGACCCTCCTACTTCATTTTTAAATCCTTTATATTAAGTTCGCTTGCTTGCTTGCTTACGACGGTGCAAATCTTTCGGTCGTTTTTTAACCCACTTCCCGTGATCCAATCGAGCTGACATTTTCCACACAGACTCGTTGTGCGTGACAATTAATGTTCGTGAATTTTTTTCCCCAAAATTTTACACTTTTTAGGACAAAAATATATTTAATTACCAATTACTTAATGGTGCAATGCAATCATCTGACCCATAGGTGGTAGCCATCTCAAGCCAGAGGACGAGAGGACTCTAGCCGCCACGCATATAAAGGATTTATAGTGAAAAACTTTGTTTTTACGGGTTATACTTGTTAATGTATTTATAAAGGGCGTAATGGTTACCACACTGGACTTGCAATCTAGAGATAGCTGGCTAAGTTATTCTGGCATGGCAGTTAAAATAAATCGCCCCAACTCTGTCCACCAAGCAGTATAAATAGGGACGTCACGGTTGTTTGATTGGCAGGTTGACTAACTAGTGTGAAGAGTTGGCCAATTACTCTCCAGAATGACTCTGAAATTTATCTAGTGGGAGGCCCTTCCATCAGTCGTGGTGTGAGCAAAACAGAGCTGGACCTTTAAACTTTTCCCCAATTTTGTTCTGATTGTGCTATTGGATTTATGTTATACGACGAAGATTCAATTCGGATCTCTCGCAGAGTATTATACTGCCCTTCATGTTAGAGAACAGCTCACGGAAGTCGATATAACACAACTACCTCTTGAGATCCCTTCAAGTGATGTCTGGTCCAGTAGATGGCAGCACTTTCCTACCTGCATTGCCTCCGATAGCAATGTTCATCGCACAACAAACCAATATTTTTTGTAATTCTTAAAGCAATATTAAGTGCATAACCAAATTTTATATTTTTTTACGTATGCAGTCATTGCTAACAAGGTTGAAATCATACATTTACTATACTTGAGAACTCGGGGTCATAACAAGCGGCTGTATAGGTTCGTACCCAGTAGTTTTAGCGGTGCCAGCTCGGCATTCTGACCTTTTAGCCCCATTGCCACCTCTCTTGTGTACGTTAACCCTGGGCGTTTACTACGGCTATCTTTATTGCGTTCATCCACCTAGTGACCTGACTCTCCCATTATACAGGAAGGTTTGTCTATTTTTCATTAAGACAAGTAGTTTTTGGTTTGTTGATAATGTTCTTGTGAGGGCAAAGTTTGAGAGTTATGTTGGGAAATATGAAATATATTTCGATTTAAATCTTTCGTGACTGCAGGGGTTCATCTTCTTGGTTTTCCGGGTAAGTCACGTAGAAGGGAAATAATAAAATAATAAAAATAAAACATAATAAAATAATTCTCACGAAGTTTCGGCCACAACGCAAGCAGCCGTCCTCAGGTGAAGACCAGGTCTGTCCCTTCTACGTGACTTTACTGAAAGAACCAAGAATATGAATTATATTATAAAAAAAAAACTTGCTGAATGATGACTGTGCAGCATGCCAAAGTTGGCAATCCTGTATGGCACTGAAGATTGCTATGCTATTGAAGAAGAGCATAAACTAAAGTCCTCTCTTTCTTCCAGATGTTAATATGCCTCGGTGTTTTTTTTCTTAGAAGCAGGATAGCTCAGAATTGCTCTTTCATGTCACATTTTCAAAATAGAATTCCCGTCAAGTGTGGCAGTTGGCATGAACCAACACTGCTGGCAAATGAAAGCACTTAATTTATCTGGGAAATTCACAAAATAAATGTTCCCACTTAAGGTGCGAGATTGTTAGAAAAAAGCATAATGTGAGAATTCTGATTGCAAAGGGGAAAGAGGCTTAATGAACAATTCAGTTGCATGGCTTCAATGCTGACACTACAGAGAGGCTTGAACACACGACACAGAGGCCACAAAAGTGTGTGTGGATTGGATTCGGGCATTCGAACGAAATGTTCTTTCTGCGCTCTCAGCATGGCCACCAGTGGGAGCTGTGCGATCTGAAACAGTGAGCAGCGTGGCGTGAAATGCGAGTAGGGCGCAGTGGCTCATGCAGCGTGAAGCGTTTATGCATCGTTTACATGGAGAGATCGTGGAGGAATAGTGCTGCTGCGCTTGTGTGCGGTGGCAGGCGCCGACAAATGCTTCTATTCGTTACCTTCCCGTCTGTTCAAAACTCAATGGGATTTAACCTTATGTAGGGCTAAGTTGGGCAGCCTCTCGTGTCGTCTATTTATGGTTTCATACCAGCAGTGGCTGTTGATAGTATCAAGTGTGCTGCTGAATTGTCCCCAGCATGTTTAAGTTGATTAAGGTTTCCAGATCGCTTTCTGTAGCCTTGTTTGCTAATTATTTCGGTGGAAACCTATAGCAACCCCATTGACAAAAAAGGAAGTGTGCTACGTGTGTATTCCCTGCGGGGGATAGGAGTAACATTTCCATTGCACTGCGTTCAGCTCATCTACAAGCCATACCAATGTTCAGACAAAGGGTGCTGGTTAATTGGGTCATGGCCCTGGCAATATAAAGAGGTCCACACTGCTACAGAAAGGTCCTTTGGGAGCACAACAGTTTGAAGGCTAATGGGACACCAGACTCGTCACGCATAAAGGGCAGGTGCCATTTGCGATGCTGTGCGTCTGAAAGGACCAGGGCTGAGATTTTTGCCGGAGTCAGGAACATCACAACCTTTTAAAGGTGTTCAGCAAAGCCTGCCCTGTCTACCCTTTCATTGCCAACCCTGCTCGTACTTTCAAAGGACACGTTGACATATCCAGGAAGAAAACAAACTGACAGCAAACACCTATTGTTAAGGGTGCTTTTTCCTGTGTGTGTAAACAAATGTCAATGTTTTATTATTTGGCTATCTAGTCGTGGAAGGGAATGTTATTTTTCAATCATTGTGTCAAGTAGATTTCAGGCTTTTTGGCATTGGTCAGAGTACTCATAATGTATGTTGTAGCAGCCACACCGGTTTTTAGGAAGGGGGGGAGTGGAAAGTACATTGTTGCGTATGCAGTGGCATGCGACATTGGTGGATGACCTCTGCCAAGGGGGAGAACATGAACAAAATAATTACATAAACAGTTCTTGCCCCAATTGTTGCCAATTAAACGCACGGCACTTGATGAGTGCTGTGTGTTTTTGTCACACTCGTGTTCGCTCGGCATTAGCAGAAGGATGGTGTAGGAATTATCCCAGAGCCTTGGCAGTGAACATTTTGCTCATGGCTAAAGCTGTGGACGTCACTGCCCTGACCGCTTGGGATGTTGTCTTCCTCGGTGATTTGATTTATCCATTGTTTAAAACATAGTATTGGCTGCTTTGTCAAAAACATCACAGATTTGTGGAAATAATCCCTTGAAAATAGTTGTTTGTTGGGCTGCTCCCTTGAAGCACTATGGTACTTTGGGCCAATGTTTTGTGACTTTTTATTCTTCTTAAATATCTTTACATGAAATCTAAAGTACACCATAAGCCTTTTGCAAGGAGCCCATATTTCACATAATCAATCGTTGGCTATCCATTGCTAGATGTCACCATCCTTACGGCCCATGCTGCCACCTTTTATCTGACTCCTGTGCCTTAACCGATCTCATTGCTCTATCTCGCCGATGGCTGTCCTCTTCGGCGCGTTCTCTCCTTAGGCTGCCGTTCCATCACCAGTCTTGTCCATCGGCCATCATCCCATCGAGCATTGTGTCCTGCTCGAGCCAATTTATTTAGTTGTCATTATGATCAGTTTAACACGTAGGCTTTCGCGACCAATATTATTCATAATAAAGGTTTTTGGGTCGGATCGCGTTATTTATAAATGTGTCGCAACCCTCCACCACCCGACACGGCCAATCAGTAAAAAAGTGTCACGTTGATAAACGACGAATAGTTCACTACTTTAGCCGACGGGTGTGTTGAAGAGTGAATCCACAACATTTACAATTTTTGAGTATGACGTTTCGCTGGTAATTACATCCAGCATCATCGGGCAATTTGCCAGAATAGTGAAGCCCTCCACCTGCTCCCGATCTTAAATAGAGCAGCAGGGTGACGTCATCATTTAACCAAATCAGAGGTGGAGAGGGGGGGGTATTGTAATTATATAATAGATTAGTAATCAGCTAATTGTTATTTATTACGTCTCTGAATTTAGTTTGTTCCCTGAGCAGTGTGTTAATCTTTCTAGCTCTGTAATTCCAACTGTGCACCTGTGTAAGCTTCTTTGTGCACTCTTCGGCTTTTTGCTTACTTTTCTTTTTTGTCCATGTTTCTGATCCGTATGTCTTTGCTGGCAAATGAACCGAGTGAAAATGCTTTTCTTCAGACGCATTGCTATGTTGCTTTTCAGTATCACGCTCAGCTAGATCCAAAGGTACTGTGTACTGCTCTTGTTCTCCTGTTACCAAGCTGTAGTTAAGAGAGAATCTACAAAGTAATGTCCAGGACTGAAAAAAAACCCGCCATAGCATTTGTAGAGGCACTCCCAGTGGGGCTTTCATATATCCCCAATGAAACAGCTGAATTAACTCGGACTTTAGGTCTTTGTGTCAGGATTGCATGCTTAGAATGGGTCGAGGGAAAGAAACCTGGATCAACACTGATGCGCCCGATTTTTATCGGTAGCCCTCGCCGTGCAGACACATGCACTTTATCTCCCCCTAAGCTTGTTTTCATTTCGTGCCTTTCTAAATGTAGTTGGTCAGGATGGGAACCAACGTTGTGATACCTGCTACGGTCCCGAATATTTCGCACGTCTGCGTTGACACAGGGCATCAGGCCGGCTTGGCGCCTTCTGTCGAGCGCATTCACCGGGCACAAGTATTTCCCGCCATGCCACGAATGCTAGCGTGAACAAAAAATTCTGCTTCTGACACAGGGTCCCATTCAAAGAGTGGCTCTGAGAGATATTCTGACTACGCCAAAGCTGTCATCAGACGGGCTTTCGCAGTAAGCCGGTTGAGTGTTTTGACGGGCTTCCAGAGGTTTGAACTGCGGTGAACTGCGCTGGCATGT